GTAATTGTTTTCTGGTTGTTTGGCAGATTCTTTGTTTCTTCCTCTCTTGCTGTCTTCCTTTGTGTTTAGATGATTTTCTGTGGTGGTATGCTTTGATTCCTTTATATCTTTTGTGCATCTACTATTGGTTTCTACTTTGTGGCTATCATGAGGCTTATGTAGAACATCTTATAGTTAGTTATAGTAGTCTATTTCAAGCATTAACAATTTAATTTCAATTGCATAAAAAACTGTACTCTTACTCAGACCTTCCTGCATATATTTTATGTTTTTGATGTCATTATTTGCATCATTTTATATTGTATATTCATGAAAAAAGTATTGAAGCTATAGTTTTTAATACTTTTTTTAAAAAACCTGTATTTTAGAATTAAGTAATTTACACATGATTATTATAAATTTAGAATATTCTTAATTTGATTAGATATGTATCTTACCAGTGAGTTTTATACTTTCGTATGTTTCCATGTTGCTAATTAGTGTCCTTTCGTTTCAATTTGAAGAACTCTTCAGCATTTCTTGTAAGGCGCATCTAGTGGTGATAAACTCCCTCAGCTTTTGTTTGTCTGGGACTGTTTACATCTCTTTCATTTCTGAAGGACAGCTTTGCTGGGATACATATTCTTGTCTGGCAGTTTTTTCTTTCAGCACTTTGAATATATCCAACTTTCTCCTGGCCTGCAAGGTTTTTGCAGAGAAATCCACTTATGGTCTTATAGGGATTCCCTTGTAGAAAATGAGTTTCTTTTCTATTACAGTTTTTAAATTCTCTTTCATCTTCTATTTTTGACAGTTTCATTATAATATGTGTCAGTGAAATCTTTTTTGGGTTGAATCTTTATAAGGTCTTATGAACTTCCTGTACCTGGACATCTTATCTTTCCCTAGGTTTATGAAGTTTTCAGCCATTGTTTTTTTTTAAATCATCTTTCTGCCCTTTCTCTCTTTTCCTTCTTGAATTCTTGAGTTTGTTTTTTGTTTTCTTGGTGTTTTTTTAGATGGTGTCTTGTTCTGTCACCCAGGCTGGAGTACAGTGGAATGATCTCAGCTCACTGCAGCCTCTACCTCCCAGGTTCAAGCAATTCTCTTGCCTCAGCCTCCCACGTAGCTGGGACTACAGGTGCGCACCACCATGCCTGGCTAATTTTTATATTTTTAGTAGAGACAGGGTTTTGCCATGTTGGTCAGGCTGGTCTTGAACCCCTGACCTCATGTGATCCACCCGTGTCGACCTCCCAAAGTGCTAGGAATACATGTGTGAGCCATTGTTCCTGGCCTTGAATTCTTAAAATGCAAATATTGTTTTGCTTGATGGTGTCCTATAATTCAGATAGGCTTTCTCCACTATTCCTTTTTTCTTTTTTCTTTTTTTTTCCTCTGACTAGATCATTTCAGATGACCTGCCTTTGAGTTCACAGATTCTTTCTTCTGCTTAATCAGGTCTGCTGTTGATGCTCTCTATTGCATTTTTTTTGTTGTTATGTTCTTCAGCTCCTGAATGTTTCTTTTTATTATTCCTATCTCTGTTGAATTTCTCATTTGTTTGTATATATTTTTTTATTTCATTATCTGTGTTCTTTTGTAGCTCACTGAGTTTGCTTGAAACAATTGTTTTGAATTCTTTATCTGTTAGTTGATAGATCTCCCTTTCTTTGGGGGTGGTTATGGAAAATTACTGTGTTTCTTTGGTAATGTCATGTTTCTTTTTTTTTTTTCTTTCTGTTTCTTGTGGCCTTCTGTTGTTATCTGTGTATTTGATGGAATAATTACATTCAGACATTATAGATTAGTTTTTTTTTTTGAGCAAAGACATTTGCCTGTGGGTGAGTGTGAGGGTGCCAGCCAGTAGGTGTGGTGGTTCTGGCTCTGTGGAAAGCCCAGCATTGTAAACTCCATGTAGCTCTCTTACCCCAGATCATTGTCAGTGAGGATTGCAGGGGTCCTCAACATCCAAGGCTGCAGGTATCCATACCAGCAGCAAGGTTTTTTTTGGTGGCAGAGGCTGCTAGGGACCTCTTGATCACTTTTTCTCCCATGGGAGACATCGTGGCCAAGGGGATTCTTTTTGGCACAGGTTCTGGCTTTGGGCTTTGTTGTGTTGGTGTTGGTGGCAGCACTGATGTCTCTGATGGCGTGGACACCTGTGGGGCAGCTACAGAGCCAAGGTTTGGAGTGCAAGTGCCTGCAGAAAGACAGCGGGTCTGGGGTTCAGGATGTTGACTAGCCTGCAGCAGTGGTGCTTCTAGTGCCTCAGATGTGGGTGCACATAGAGCAGCCTTTAAGTTGGGTGTGGAGTGCAGGTGTGCAGAGCAGCCAGAGAGCTGGGATCTGGAAAGTGTATGATTAGAGCAGCCACAGAGCAAGGGTCTTACATGCAAGTACACGTGGAGCACCTGTGGCTCTGGGGTCTGGGGCATGTGTGGGGGTGAGGGGCTGCACTGTCTCTGGGCAGTGCAAGAGCTGCTTTTTTTCAGGGTGAGGAGTGCAGTAGTGTCTCCCTCTCCAGGGGGTTCACAGCAGTGCTGGGTGCTGGTTACCTTAATGGTGAAAGCTGTCAGTGTCCTCTGCAGAGTAGGCTACTGCAGTTGACATCAATGAACACTATAGGGTCCTTCACTGTGAAACCTGCAGGAAGTCTGTGGCTATCCTGAGGGTTATTGGGGTCTCCAGGGACCTGCTCTGGGGAGGAGCCTAGCAGTCTTTGCCACTGAGGACTGTGATGGCACTCACCACATGACTGATACAGATAGCCCTCACCCCTTGTTCTTAGCCGTCTCCAGATGTCTCTGCTAAGGAGATCTCCCAGCAGTCCTTTCTGTGTGGTTATTCTCTCTCTTTTTTTTTTTTTTTTCTCACTGTATTGCTGTAGGCTGATTGGGCTATTGAGTTCTTCCAGAGCTGTATTTGTTTGTGGATAGCTGTCTCTTTATTGTTTTTTGTGGGTGGAAGAAGGCTGGTGTCTCCTAGTCTGCCATCTTGCTGATGTCACTCTTGCAAACTTTCTTTGAGTCTGTGGCTTTTCATTTTTTAACATCTTTTGAAGAGCAGATGTTTTCAATTTTGATGATGTCAATTTATCAATTTTATCTTTTGTGGAATATGTTTTTGGTCTTTTGTCTAATAATTCTTTACCTAATGTAAAGACAAAAGGATTTTTCTCCTGTACTTTTTCCTAAAGTTTTATTATTTTAGGTTTTATATTTAGGTATACGATCCATTTTTTACTTTTATTTTAGCTATTTTTGCATATATGTGGGCATAGGTCAGAGGTTTTTTTTTTTTTTTTTTTTTAAATACGTATATCCTGTTGTATAGTATCATTTGTTGAAGAAACAAAAGGAATAGAATGGATATAGATGATATGTGAACTTCTTGGCACATCTTCAAGAAGCCCTATCAGTTTAAAAACAAATATTTGAGAAACACTGTCACATTATATATAGATAAAAATATTTGATTGCATATTTTTTGGAGGGAAGGTAGTGGATTGTGGCTCAAATGTAATGGAAGAGTGAACATTGAAGAAAGATGAGCAGTTATATTGTGAAAGATCACGTTGTAGGAAAACTGAGTTAATAGTATCTGAAACTGTTAAGTAGTTCACTTTAAGCGCAAAATAAATTGCATATAATAGTGTTTTTTGGGAGTCAACTTGTTCCCCTTTGTAGGTGCAGACGCTTTTCTTTTTGTTGTTGTTGTGTTAATGGATTGAATTAGAAAATACCATGATATATAACACACGGTAAGATGTATGTGGTTTTATGATAATTTTGTTCCTATTAGATATGTATGTGTTCTGGGTTGTGATGTAAAATGTTTTTACTATGGGATACAATGAAAGATTTGAAATCCATTTTTTCTAGAATGATCAGGTTATATTTGATATGAAACAATTTAAAAAAATAATTTTCCTCATATGTTTTAGGTGTGAGTTCTTGATACGAATGAAAGGCCAAGAGTTTGTTGATGAGATTCAAGGTAGATATCCTCATCTTCTTGAACAGGTAAATACATTTTTAAAATTAACAACTTTGAATTCTGCTTTATAATAAAAATACTATTAGGTTGGTGCAAAAGTGATCGTGGTTTTTGCCATGGAAAATCATGGCCAAAATCGTGATCACTTTTGTACCAACCTATATTAGAAATTATACTTACTTCTCTTTTATTAATTGTAGGTACATATTTTCATTCATGTTAATGATAACTTTGATTTTTACTTTTGTAATCAACTTGATTGTTTAGGGCTTTTTAAAAAGATTGTTGTTTGTTTTTACTATTTTGAAAAATCATTTATGCTGCCACTGTACAAATTTGTGATGGGATTGGAGAAGGAGCTTTAGTGTCTCTTTGCAGTTTTCCAGAAAAACAAACAAAAAATAACTTGTTAGGCTCTGAGACCCTTTGAGAGTAACCCAGTTAAAATCTTATTTTCCTAATGAAATGAGAAACCACTGATACATTTTTCTACTTTGCTGAAACTAGAGAAATACTTGAATTCTAATTTGGGATAACATGAAATTTAAGGAAATCTATGTGATTAGGGTGAAAGAAAGCAAAGTAAAGGTCATAAATCACTCAGTTCTCAAAAGAATATATACATTTACTTAACATAAACTTACTTTAGTGTTGTTCCTTTCAGATTGTTGGGGAGATCTGATTTTACCTATTAACTTTTCTCTTGTTTCGTAGCTGTTGTCAACTTCGGATACTACTGGAGACGAAAATGCTGACCCACCAAGTATGTATGAAATAATTTTAAGTATAGAGTGTAAATTTTTATAAGAATTTTAGGAATAGGCTGGGAGCAGTGGCTCATGCCTGTAATCCCAACACTTTGAGAGGCCGAGGTTGGCAGATCACCTGAGGTCAGGAGTTCGAGACCAGCCTGGCCAACATAGTAAAACCCCATCTCTACTAAAAATACAAAAATTAGCCGGGCGTGATGTGCCTGTAGTCTCAGCTACTCGGGAGGCTGAGGCAGGAGAATTGCTTGAACCCAGGAGGCAGAGGTTGCAGTGAACTGAGATTGTGCCATTGCACTTCAGCCTGGGTGACAGAGCGAGACTTGGTCTCCAAAGAAAAACAAATGTAGGAATGAAAGTATGTACTTTTTAGAAGAGTTTCTGAAGTCATAGGGAAAAATACTGGGAAGTCAGCTAATAAATATTTTTT